TTATAAAAGAGCAATCATCCACACTTCCATCTTTGTTATTAGTGTTTAAAATCTTGTTAAAAAACAAACAAACAAACAAACAAGCAAGCAAACAAAAGTAGGAGGTACCATACTATCAGGTATCCATCCCTCCCAAAGTTGTTTGGTTCCCCTTGTTCAGCCAGCTATTGAAACACAATCCTGTCGACAATAGGTGTTTTTTAGGCACAAGCCGCCGAACTTTCTGTCTTCATTTCACGCGCCACGTCTGTTTTCACGTGCGGTCACGTACCAGCCAGACAGGCCGTGCGTGCTGTGTTCACGTGGTCACGCCACAACGCTGAAATGTCATCATCACGTGGTCACGTCACAACGCTGGAATGTCACCAGCACGCGGTCACGTCGCCAGACAGGCCGTGGTGCTGTGTTCACGTGGTCACGTCACAACGCTGGAATGTCATCATCACGTGGTCACGTCACAACGCTGGTGTGTCATCATCACGTAGTCACACTACGTGACGAACGTGGTCACGCTGTAACGCACCACCCTCACGCAGTCACGCACGCCACAGCCCGGGTATCACGTCACGGTGGCGTGGCAGTGTTCTCACGTGACGTCGCAAAACGACAGGTGGCGTTATCATCACGTGGCCGCGTAAAACACTACGTGGCGTTGTCATCATGTTGCGCTGTAAACCACCACGTGGCAGTGTCATCATATGGCGTGGTGAAACACCACGTCGCGTTGCCATCACGTGACGGCGCAAAACACCACGTGACGGCGGGCGTTACGAACGTGGTGTCTCTCTGTGTGTGGGTTTCCCCCTTCCCTCTTAGCGTGACGTCACCTGACGCCTGCCTCACACCATGGCACCGGACTCGCGGCCTCGTGAAGACATCATGACCTCCTCCTCCTCCTCCCTCTCCTCCTCCTTCCCCCTCCTGCTGCCCCTCTTCCTTTTGTTTCCTCCGTCCGTGGTGATCACCTCGCTGACCGACCTGGGCCCCACTAGTCCCTCCCAGCGCGCGACACGACGGAGGGGCAGGCAGATGATGCCGCTGAGGGTCAAGGTCATCCCGGCCAGGTAGAAGGCCCAGTCGTCGCTGCCCGTGGCGTCAGAGAGGGCTCCTGGGACAACAGACACAGGCAATATTATATATATACATTTTATATATAGGTCACGTGTATAT